TATCACCAATTGAATTTAATAAAACCACAGCCAGTTGTCCACTTAAGAGTTTCTTATTGAGTTGGCTAGGTCATGGAATAATCTCTCGAATCTATCAATATTTGTTTTGAGGTCAAGAGATGGGTCCATTTTAAAACAAAAGAACTATTTCAGAAGATAGAGCTTATTAGGCATGGTTTTATTCAAATAGGTGGCTTCCAATTTCTTTCACAATTCAGCAGCAGTCTTAGTTTTTTCAATTTCTCTAAGTACATTATCAGACAGATGCAGAAAGATAAAGCTCCATGTAATTTCATCTTGTTCAGTTACTTTACTTGATTCAAGATTAGTTGACCATGACTCATCAATGTCTTTAGCACATTTTTGTTGTAAGACTAAAGTCTCCTTTACCATTAAAAACTTCCGGTTCAAATTTTGAGCTAGTCATTGTTTAAAACTTATGAATGTAGTACAATATATGCAAATCAGACAGACACTATACAGGTGCTTGCAAAAAAATTAAACCAAGTATTACCACACAAGGGACACACGAAATATACAGTAATCAAGTTATAAAAGAAACTTCAATTATTTCACAGACAAATAGATTGTTCACAGTAGTACGTTCACTGTGTTATATTCAACACAGATCATGTACAAATCACAACTAGCATGTATTATACATCAATAAAGATCATAGTAAAGTAATAATATCAAGATCCTTGACTTAAGTTAAGGTAACCCTCAGATTCTAGACAACTCTCAAGGTTTCTGGACAAATGAATTACCAAGATAGTGACGGATCAAGGTTGTTAAACACAAGTGTAGAGAACTTGAAGAGTATAAACACTTAATCTTTACTATTAATTGTAAAACATAAATGATCTCACCAGATCCCCTTATTAGGGTTTTAAGAAATAACGAATAGCAGCTTAAACTAGTGTCACAACTAGCATATCTACAAGAATCAGACTCAAGAACCTCCGTTCAACCGCTTTGATACCACTGTTAAGAGGAGGTTCAACAATATTAGCTCAAGATCGACAAAAAACGCACAAGTAAGAACTAAAGAAAGTACTGAAAAGTAAACTTGATTAATTGTTACCCTAAGGCCCAAATTACACCAGTGCCTCAGTCACTGAAAACAACCACCGTTCATAATCAAACACAACCAAGGTAAAAATAACAGATCTAGACACTCAGACAGTAACCCCTAAAAGATCACAGTAAACCAGCATTCACTCAAAGACACTTGTTCACACAAGAACATAGCATTCAACTCAAAATAAAAATCACTCAAGATTACAACATTTGAGAGAAACCACAAAATGAAAACAAAATGAGAGTTTTGATTTCTCGGAGACAAGGAAAGTCAAGAACTCAAATGGCGCAGATGAAGAGATAATCAGAGAGAGTGTGCACAGTTCCAATCCTAGGAGAGCTTTTATACGAGTCGCCCAAAGATCTTCATACAATGGTCTTGGAGATGACACTTGGTGACATTAGGAGTGTCCATTTCAAATAAAGGGAGAAACACAGCTTTACTAATTAAAACACGACTTTGCACCAATTCAACAATCAAAGAATCAATCAAGTCAACTGGTCAACATTCCAATCAGCAGGTTAATTGCATTATTGTACCAACCTTTCAGTAGCATAATAACACATGATGTGATTATTTAAAATGGTTTAAATTGTTTTCATGACAAAATCACTAATGTGTTTCCACACATTTTCTTAGTGCAAGATTATTACCTAATTTAATCACATCTAAAATATAAAAATATGAATTTAACCCCACAATGGCATTGGATACTTCTTGTACAGATATCAAATATGTCACTGTTCTATATTGGTGAAACTGTGTTTAAAATCAATTGGATGGCAAGTTTAATATGACATTGAATCAGCATATGAAGAAACAAAAAGTGAAAAACCCTACTTGTTTTGTTGAAGATATAATGTAATTATATAAATTTGCCTAATCTCTAACATCTTGAGTTTTAGAGGCGACTCAATATCGAGTAAACAAAAGTCATGATTTCAAGTTTCATGTATCGATACCTATTTATGAAAATTGTGAACATATCAAATTGAAAAAATGAGGTCTACATGTGACATAATGTGTTAAACAAAAAACTTAAATAAATAAACTCCTCTAGATGTTCTAACATCTCAAGTCATTTTCATAATATTTATACTTGAGGTCTCTCTTCCTTTTCTCCTCCTTGTTCTCACACTCCTGATAAGAATTAGATCCCTAGGAGAAACCATGAAGAGAGGCGAAAGCTCTGGCGGTGGCCAGAGTTCCTTAGGCTACCTGTTTGGTTCTGATGATAAGAAAAAAGACAATGCACCATTGGCATCACCTACTGCTTGTACACCTCCTTATGGAATCAATATCATCGACGAAAAGCCACAAGAAAGTCCTCCTCCTAAAGAACAAAAAGGAGTCTCCAACAACTACAAAAGGGTCCAGGGTCAGAATTCTGGAAATTTCATCACTGTGAGTTAATTATTTAACCACACAATAAAGCTTTTACTGTAGTTCTTTCTTGTTGAACCCTTGTTTCTCCCCTTGCGTAGACTAATTCTTTGATTTGGAGAGAAGAGATCATACTCACCAATCCTTAAAAAAGTGGTCTATCTTCATTAGACTAAGAATCTTGAAGGAAAAAAATGGGGTACTCCAAGCCAATAGAAATTCAATCGAACTTTTTTCTTCTTAAATATTTCCATGTTCTCTGTGATATTGCGAAATTCTGTATTTTTTATTTTTTTTTGAGATTATTTCCATAATTGTATGATTTGAATTAACATGGATCATTGTGCGTGTGCTAGGGTCGTCCATCCACTAAAGTTAAGTCAGTACCTGGTGGAGATTCGTCGCTCGGTTACCTGTTTGGAGACAAGTCATGAGATATTTGTACGATTATGGTTTACCACTTCGAATGATCTATCATGGTTTGTCTGATTTCTGCTCCATCTAGATGTGTGTGAAATGTTTGTGCTGTTGGAAATTAGGTTAGGGTTTGTAGGGTTTGCTCTTTGTGTGATTAATTACTTCCTAAACATTAGCTTCTGAAGTTTGAACCGCCTGATTAGGATTTTCTCTATTATAGTCTGCTCCTTTGGCAAGATTAAGAACTGTAAAATAAGCCTAATTTCGAGGCAGCTATATTTGATGTGGTGTGTGATTTGCTTATTTTCATGTCAAAAATTCTGCACTTGTGTTTCTTTCGAATACAAATATACATTTACAAACTTCAGTATATCTAAAACTAGAAATAAAAATAAAACTTATATATAGAAAGAGAATATGGGAGAGGGAGAAAATTTCTTAAAATTATGTGTAAATCTTGGGAATTCTACACTTTTGTTGATGTTTTCTCCTTCATTTGGTGATCATTTTACAAAATGGAATTTTGTGCTGTATAATTCATATGGTTGTCCACTTTTTTGGTTAATTTTGAAGCTTGTTCACTCTTATTCGAAACTGCATAATCGTTATTACATTTCTACGATACTGCATAGATATAATAGATATCATCAAATACTTTGAACTCAACATTTTGAATTTTATGAATAAAATGCAATGGGACAACACCAAAATAAATATAAAAGTTAAGTAAATCATGTTGGTTGTAGGTCCTCTATTCTTCTTTTTGCNNGTAGGTCCTCTATTCTTCTTTTTGCCCAAGTTTACATAAGAAAATGTGGCAAATGTAATTTTAAGCTCGAAAATTACATGTCGAACAGCTGGGATTGGTTCGTGTTCGAGATGAGAGTAATATAATGAAGTAAAAAAAAACGTTTTTAATTAGTTCTGAAATTTTTCAGAACATCTAGAGTTTAATTCATTGGATCAATCTGCCAACATCTTACAAAGATGACATCAGTTGATCTGTAAGCTAGGTATGGAACAATCCTCTAACAATAGTATGATTAGCAAAACATAAATGCTGCAATTGATAACCACTGCTACCATTTACCTAGATAAATAGAACTATAAAGATAACTAGACAAATATTAGCAAGATTCATATAAACTTGATTCAATAAAAAGAACACAACCACACCTTTTTTTGGGTTCGATCGATCTTGTTAAGAATAATCAATTCACACTCTTATATGTTGATTGTTGTTTTTGTATTTAGGCAATGTGAAATTTTAACTTTAACATCTCATACAAAGATATATAGTTAGATCATTTGAGAAGGGTAATCTTGAAATTTTACATCCATTCGAGTTTTAAACGAATCAAATTGCACATTTGAACTTCTTGAACTCTGACATCTCATTTCAATGCTTAAGTTAGTAGAGAGATCATACGTATTTACTTAAATTTTTCATCAACATATCATCTCATGCGTACAAGGGATTCATTATTTTATTATTAGGAATAATAGAAGCACGCGTTTTTTATAAATTATCGTGGCAACATTTGATTCAATTCTTTAAAAAAATAGTTAGACTACAGCTTAAAAGCTAATACTCCTTAAAATTCTAAACTTTGAAATGGACATCAACGAAGGTAAATAAAGTTAAAATTATGTTCGAAGTTATTTTTAATATTGAGTACTAGACATGTTCTTAATGTGATGACCTGATTTCCTTTTAACATTCTAGCTTCTTCCCTTGTGAATATTATCTGCAACATCTTCTCCTTGTCACTGATCTATTGTTTAGTTCCTAGAAAAAAACATTTTGATACAATAAATGATTTGATCAAGTTAAGGATATCAGATCACTTCATCATTTTAGTTATCAAAATATGGACCAGCTCTTTTCTACATGTTTGGCCAACAAAAGCACACATTATTATGTGTCTTCTGATCACATCAACAGTAAAAAGTCTTTGCCCAAATAGTATAATTCTTGTGGCAAAGCACAATTTGTCAGCCTGGCAACCTGAATTAGTTCATGGTAAACTTAGACATACAAGGAAGACAAATATAAAGACTAATCATCATTTTGAATATAATTATGAGACTTAACTACATAAAGAAAGATTAATAATCATATTATGCCCCAGTTTGGTTATGATAAAAATCAGATTTTTAATAAATTTGGACAAAAATTGATGATATTTATAGTTAAAAAGTAGATAAAAGTTGTGAATCTTAAAAATAAATTTTAAGGAGTGTGGTTAAAAATAAATTTTATACCCAATACCCTTGTTTGTAGTCCGATGCAAAATAATGATTATGTTGTATTTTATGTGTATCATTCGTGAATAGAAATGTGGCTCCGACACAAATTTAATATCTTATTGGGAGTCGACATAGTTGACAAGAACATTGAGATGGTTTAACTTCTTTTCTTCCGTACTATTTATTTAGTATCGTCTAATTTGATATATCAAACACACTACAAATATATTTCTAAGTAACATAATCTTGTCTGCCTTATTCTTTAGATAACAATTAGTTTGTTATCCCAATTACCATTCTGAATATTGGGCCTTAAAGTCAAACAGGCTGGACTGGTCCATCAAAGACAAGTCTATTTAGTTCTTTTCTTTTTAGTGGTAATTACATAAAACCAGCTGTTTACTTTTAAGTTTATGAAAATCAGGTTTTAGCTTTATTTAATCAAAAATCAGGTTTTATCTTTTTTAATTAATGATGGTATTATAAAATTAAAATACACACCCTATTACTTACCCCACCAACTTTATTTTAAATATAAAATACTAAATCTGTCCAAACCTAATCCATTTCATCTCTGTTGGTCTCACCATTTCTCCCATCCATCGCCACCTCTCTCCACTACTGCCTGCCGCCTCCTCCCTTCTCCTCTTCCCTCCCCCCTCCCTTTGCTGCTTCGCTGCTGCGATTTGCAGCAGCAGCGTCTCTGCTGCAATTCGCAGCAAAGCGACGCTGCTGCAAGTCGCAGCAGCTTCTCGCCTTCTCACGCTGCTGCGACCCCACAGCAGTGACGTTGCTGTGGGTGTGGTAGGCGATGGAGGTGCTGTGGGTCTTCGATGCGGTGGAGGGCTTCGATACGGTTGTGTGGTGTTGTGGCGGGGTCGACGGCGGCAGCGGTGTTTTCTTGGTGTTGGTGTAGTGGTGGTTGGGGTGGTGTTGTGACGTTCTGATGATGGTGGTGCTGTTCAGGCGGAGACGGTGGTGGTTGTTGGTGGTGTTATTGTTGGTGGGTGTTTTAGGGATTAGGGTCGGCGGCCTGATGACAGGAAGTATCTGTGACCATCTATTTAGTCGGTCTGTGACCTGTGACGGATGGGACGAAGTGTCTGTGACCTGTGACTCAGTATTGTTGGTGTATTGGGATTGGGGGACGGGTGCGGCGGATGGGATGAAATGTCTGTGACCATCTATTTGGTCAATCTGTGACCTGTGACCAAGTATTGGTGGTGCACTGGATGAGGGACAGGTGTTTGAGTGTATGTGACCATCTATATGGTAATCGTGACCTTAAAATTCGTTACTCTGTGACTGAAAATATAATCTTATGACCTCGAAATAATCTGTGACCAATTAATTTGATAAGTTTTGATTGAAAATTAAAATTTTAACTAATAAATAAGATGTATGTGACCTTAACAATTGTCGGAATCGGAGCAGTAGCCGGAATTAAGTGGCAGCAAATCGGTCACCGGAGTAGTCGCCACAATTAAGCGCGGCCGGAGATCAGTCGCTGGAGTAATCGTCGGTCGTCAGAGTAGCGCCGGAGCAATGGGGGTAGTGGAGATGGGGGTGGGGGTGGGGTGGGTTAATTATATTTTATCACCATTAAATATTTAATTTACTAGATTAA